GATGCTACATAGTGTTGGGGGAAAATAACAACAATGTTGTTGATTTCGTTTTTCGCCCAGTCCTTGTAGTTGCAGGTGAGAACATGAGAGTATCTCTGTTTTGTCCATGTCACCCCTGCTATTGTGGCTACCTACTTAAGAAAGAGGTCGACTGGATGAAGTCACAGCATGTGTTTACCCTCTTGGGCGATGAATTATGTGTTGTCTAAGATACAAAGTGCAAGCACGCAGGTGCTGTGAGAGAGTGTGCACATGTGCCCGATATCATGTGTCTGTGTGTTTGCGGATGACTGATTGAGCAAGCAAGTACATGAGAGACGGAGTGTCTTAAAACTGGTTAATAACGAAAATTAAGGAGATGTAGTGTTGGCCAACATCAACTCTGCCATTAACACACAAACACAAGCAAACACACGGGCCCCTCTATTCTTATTTTTGATTGTATTTCTGCATAAAATGCAGTCCTCGTCTGACAAAGACCAATAAATACTTTATACAGTGCATAATGTGTGCGGTGTGAGCACAAGGGAGAGAGAAAGAGGGCGTCCTCACGAGGGCATATGCTTTGAATTCCTAATGACACTCCTGTTAACGTTACTGGCACTGTCACACAGAGAGAAAACGCACAGGGATGATACGCCGTGGAGTCAAACATCTACTTTAATACTCCCTTTCTGTCTCTGCTTCTCTTCCCGTCTCTACCTATTGCTCTCTTTCCCATAGACACTCACATACAACATGCCCCCCAGACAAACACATACACACAGGAAAGACTGAAGTCCAATTCTGAGAGCTCACTCTAGCATGAGGTCTCTTTTCAGTGGCTGCGTTGTGCCAGAAGTAGCTATTCTCCTCTGACCGCCTCTCCTCCTTTCAAAGCCTTGTAATCAGTGTGCTGCTCTTTGTACCAGGATGTCGCAAGACGCCCCGGCAAAAACACAGCAGAATTTCTGATGAACAGCAGTGGCTCAGAGTTCGGCTAATCAGGTCTTGCTCATGTCGCTTTCCTCTTATGTGAGCCCTTTTGAAGCGAATAAAGTCTTTGCAGTTTGGCACGTTCTTCTTGGCAGCCACAAAGCAGCTGTTGGATCAATACACAAAGTTAGATGAAAAAACCCTGTACAACCAATAGGAGCCCGTTGGAAACAGTTAGTAGAAAACATGGACTGCCAGGAGCCTGTTCATAGTTGAGGGTATGACTGAATGTTTCCATGCTGCTGACCCAACGACTTGATGCAAATTAATTCCTACACTTCAAACAAACATGCTGTGGTTTGGAATGGAAAGGGGAAACATATCAGTGGGTTTAAAGAAATTGTCTGGTTCCCAATCGCAGACAAATACTTCATATTAGAAATGTCTCTAAACTATTTCTATCATATTACCAACCTCTTCATTGCGGGGGGGGTCTTATTGTTTTTCACAGATATTAATATTTCATTTGTATTTTTCTCATAAATCTGAAATGTATTTTATTGAAGCCGAGTGCATTTTGCTATGTCTACAGGGAAGAAGAAGGGGGAAATCTACATAATATAAATCCATATATGGCCCAGTTATCGCTCCCTCTTTTTCAGTTGCACCCTCTCTGATTGATTCCTTTATCTGAGGGAAGCAGAAGACATGCTCTGTTTGCTCGCACAGTGGCCGGCAGGAAAACAGAGAAAGACACTTATTAAAAAGGTCATCTCACAGAGGGTTAAAATAGCAGGGCACGGAGCTCTCCGGGGGGAGCAGCCATGCCCCTCCTCTAGTGAAGGACACAAGAAAAAAAGGTGTTGCTCAAGGGAGCCGGACCCGTAATGAAAGAATGGCCACCAGGCTGACAGCCCATGTGTGCACTGGCCTATTCAAATACCTTCAGAGACACAGAATTGGAAAACAGACTGTGAAAGGCTTTGTGAAAATGCAATCTTTTGAAATAAACTCTCGGCTAGGTGTGTTATTTGTTTACAGTGTGGGCTAGCTAGTAAACACAAGTTAAAATGAGCTGAGGAGCAAGGTTGGCGAGTAATTCTGAGGGCATGTTTCCTTGCCTGCTATTGCAATCTCATCTCAAGCAGATGAACGTGTCTTGTGCCAACTGCGAACAAAAGTCAAACTGTAGACACCGTTTCTCTTTCTCCATGAACGATCAGTAACAACAACACGAGGGTGCACAGACATTACAGTGAGATAGTGAGACAAAGCATTCGTGAAGTGTTTTTTGGAAAGGCCTATGGAATAGCAGTGCCTCCAGCCTCCTGTCTCCTCCCCAGGGCAGCCTAAAGCCCTGTCGGCAGGATGCTGATCCCCACACGGAAACCTGATCCCAGCCATCCTGGAGCCGGAGGGGGGACGGGGGAGTGCTCTCCCCCCGTGGAGCCCCTCCACTTCTGCTCCAGAGTTAAAGGGGTGCTCTGGGGGAACATTCCTCTAGCCCTGCCCCAGCCAGCCTCCACTCTCAACTCTCTAGAGGAGCATTCTTCCAGCCCTGCCCTAGCCTTCACTGGGATCTCCTGGGGAGCATTCCTGAAGCCCTGCCCCAGCCCAAGACGGGCTCTCTGGGGACGCATTCCTGCAGCACTCTCTCTTTCTCTCTCCCCATCTCCCTCGCTCCCTTTCTCAGACTCTCGCCTTCCTCCGCAGTCCAGCATTAGCGCGATCAATAGCACCGATCGCATCAGGGACACGAGGCAATCCATACCCATGCGCTCCCTTAGCGCACTGCAGTGGTCACGACTTAAGTGCATGGAAAGGTGTTATACCTCTGCCAGACGGAGGGAGACAATGGCGGCCATTGATCGCAGTGACATGCAACATCTTTCTCTTTTCTCTCTGTCCATCGGGCGTGGTCGACTTGCAGCTAGAATCTGTTTAGACTTTCTGTGGTGACATTTGCGTTTTACAGTAGACGCAATGAGGCACAGAATAAACATGTGAAGCAGTGCGTTTATATGGCCATGTCTGGGTCTGGTAATACAGTATATAAACACTTTTGGGATATCGGCTGGGGGGGAAAGAGCTGAATTCTGACAAGAAACACGTCCATGTGAATTGGTTTCAGTCAAGCTCTGCAATTTGTTTACCAAAAATAAAACATTTGAAATTGTAGAAATGCAGGGTTTAGCAGGTGCTGGTTGTTGATTAGAAACTGGTTCTAATAAAGGATCCATCTGTGAGCAGAGACTTGATGTAAGGCAGATTAATTGGTCATGGATGTCTACATAATGCCACATAGGAAATCTCCTCCCATATTCCAGAGAATACACAAACACACACACTCACACATTCAAAGTACTTAGTATGCCATCTAGAAGTTTCTTTTCTCTCACTGTGTTTGAATACTAATAGTGTTTCTGCGCAATCACAATACCCTAATGGCAATTAGATTCTTTTGTTTAGTTTCCACGGGGGCTCTTATCCAAACTGTGTTTTTTTCATCATTGAGCAATTAAGAGTTATTTGTCCGTAAGATTGACATTTATAAAAGCCAGGCTTAATTATTGAAAAAATATGGCTGAGTCAGTCATGACCACATTACAGCGGTGCTGAACATAAAGAAGTTATCCCGAATCAAACACTCAACTGGTTGTCTTTAAAAATAATGTTAAGCACTGTTAGATCACCCTAAAAGTAAAATAATACCCTTTGTGTTTTTATTTCTTCCCAAACAGACTGTCCACATTTTTGTGCTGGCTTGATGGAATTAGGTGTTACATTTAAAAAAAAGAAAAAAAAAAAGGGTGACAGAAGGTGCTGCACTTAGTTTTGTTCAGACCAATGAATGCTGTTTTTGGATGACAGTAATGTGAAAGTGAACATTGCAATGATTTTCACACCTTGTGTAGACTGAGCGTCACTTTGAATTTGCACACACATGAGCAAACCGGAGGAACACATACATGTTAACAAGCATGCCTGCACATACAGTCTCTTTTACAATGGACATGCAGGCATTACTGCTTAAATGAACACCAAGACGGACAGAGTTCTGATTTGCACACTTATATACACACACAGAGAAACAAACATAGGACTTTGTTCCTAAGATTGTCTTACAGTTAATGGAAACTCTTTGTAAAACTCCTGGGATATCTACCCTATTATTTGTGGCTTGCTGATTGTGGGTTGTAAAATATGAAGCTGGGCTTGAATGTAAACAGAAAAGAGACTTGCCTAGATTTTCCATAACCAATGTTTAGGATTTGCTTTGAATAGCTTCTGTACTACATCAAAAACAGGATTGTTACATCGTAGCCTGTTCATATTCTGTTTCTAAACAACATAGTAAGTTATATGCCCATGTGCAACATTTGGAAATGTGTGTCAGGTGGTGTTTCTGAATGCGGGCCCATGAGGACGTGCAAAGGAGGACAGCAAGTCCAGGAGAAGCACATGGAAACCTTCAGTTCACATCATTAGTTCCGTCTGCCACCTTGTCATGATATTTATAGCACTATTCATCCATCAACAGTTCAATGACACAGTCTGCCAATGGCATCCTTCTCTTTCAGTCCCACTAGGTAATACTACTGCAGCTAGCTAACATTGGGACCAGTGAGGGACTTTCCTGGAGCGAGGATCTGTTTCCAGTTGGTGGTCTGGTTACTGTGGGACCTCGTAGCCACAAGTTACACTCGAGTGAAATGTTAGAATTAGTATAGCGCTTTGTAAAATGTTAAACTGAAACAGGCAAGGACAAAATGCACATACTATAAATACACACACGGTAGCCTACAGTGATGTATTATAAGGACACATGGAGGCATGTCACGCCTGTAGATATTGATGTACAGCACGTATAAATACTGTTCTATGTGTGTGAGGCCTGCATGTGTGTCTGTGATGCTGGAAATCTACCAAGGAAACTGGTAGTCTGGTGTTGTGCTCCCCTTGGTGCAGTGTACTAACACATAGTGTGGCATATTTTCTGGTGAAGGCATAGAGTGAGAGTGGGAGTGGGAGAAGAGCTGAGTGGCAGAGTGGAGGGGAGGCTCGGTGGGCTGAACGTTGTTTACCTGTCAGCTGGCATTGATTAATCTTGTGTTCGGTGAGATCGCTCAGCGACTCGAACACCTGCCGGCAGCTGTCGCAGCTGTGCAGCGCGGGCTCCTCGTCGTCCTCCTCTCCCTCTTCTCCTTCCTCTGGAGAGAGCAACCTCTTCCTCAGACGCCCGGTCTCACCATCCTCCGCCGCCCTCTCGAGGGCGCACTCTGGATCTGCCGAGACACAGGAAATGAGAGCACCACACAGTCAGAGGGGTGACCCACACAGTGAGGTACTACAGCTTCCTCTGGGTGACAATAAAATTGATTTCTAGACTCTGGATTTAATAAAAACAATAATAAAAGCTGTAATAAAAATGCAGGTTCAATTTGGGCTGCTGTAACTCAACCACTCATACCATAACAGAAGTGTTGGGCAGGTGAGGGTGAGATATACACAGACACACACACACACACACACACACACACACACAGTGGCACGATGCTCACACACACAGTAATCCAATCCACACATGCACACACACACCTTTGTTATTAGAAATGGTTTTACGTTGTGTTTGCCCTGCTTCACCCAAGCAAAACTTCAGTATATGAAACTAGACTGATGGGAATATGTGTAGTTAATAAATCCTGGATTGCAGTTTTGGCTCGACCAAAGAAATATGAAATCCTGCCAGTGAGTGCTGAATTGCATCAGTCAGCGTCTATCAAAGGAGACGGACCTTGCCATATTATCCACACATCTAGGCCAGAACAGTGGATGTATGGAGCGTAGCACAGTAAGACACACGAAAATGAGATTGGTGTGTGTTAGGCTGCCGTCACGACACACTTCCCTAAATTATTCAGCCTTGCTTGCAGGCAGCCGCGGGTCGCACACATCAATATTCTTCAATCCATCTGCAGTTTTGTCTCTTGTTGGCTTTGTGCTGCAGCAGTGCCAGGGGTGGGCGACTGAACCAGGACTAGGAATCATCTTTCAAGATAATCTGAAGTTCTTCACATGATGCTTAAATATTCGGACAACAAATCAAACCTTGCATTGTTCACTCACAGCACACCATTGACATCTTCACTCAGAAGCATGGTAAACGTGGCTTGCAACAGCATCTTACAAATAAGCAGCATGGCCTGCAGCCCTCTTTCTCCCCTGCTGTGACCATTACACTTCACAATAAGACTGATTAAAAAGCCATACTTACAATCAAACAATCATGTCACCCTGGTTTAGGCTTTGTGGGGGAGAAAAGCCTGTGCACTTTCCTGGCAGCCATTTTAAGCCCCACTGATGCAAGTGTTCCTCAGCTCGTCCTGAAACTCCGGAGGGGAATGGTAACAGGAAGCTTGTTTTTTTTTCGCCTGGCACACAGTTAACAGTGCATAAGGAAAAAGGTGTGTGTGGCACCGATGCGCGCAGGTGTGCGTATAAAGTGGGTGTCTATACAAAGGGGCGGCCATTTTAAGTCTTCCTTCAGTAGGGTGCTCTTAAACTGTGAAATTCCTTGAGGAAAGACGTTCCAGAACTCATCAAGGCCACCCAGGATTTTTTATTTTCCCCACTTGCGCCAAGTATTGATGTAACATCACACCCTCCATTGTCCTTCCCTCTTGGCGACTGAGGCTCTCGGAACATGCCCTCTAAAAATATCTGCACTGTGGTCCCCAGTGGGATCATGCAGAACAGAACAGAAGGTGTTTCAAGAAAATGAAAATCCCAACCCAATCCTCACAGATGCAGGCCTTTCCTGCTCTGGGGGGGAAACACTTCTGTCTGAGGCCAAAAGCCACACAATATAAACTAATGATGATTCATCCACAGACACAGAATTCACAATATGCACGTTTTTTTGCAGGTTGCCTGTAGAGGATGTTAAGACTTTGATATTTTTTTCCAATGGCCTTTATGAATCATTCATTTCTCTAATATTACAGCTCAGACCTGTCAGAATAACTAACTGATGGCTACATTTAAGCATTTAATGTTTTTGTCTGCAATAAAATATGCATTTACCAGTGCAGAATGCAGAAGCATTGTAATCTGTTATATTAGGTATTTTCAAATATTTTCAGAGAAATTAAATTCAACCAAAAATAAACGTTCTAACTTGTCTCTTAATTCATCTGACAAGTTTCAGCTGCAATTTACTGTACAGTAAATTCAAGCCGGGTCAGGGCTCCCGCCGAGCCCAGTGACCTCCTGTGCACCACAGTGATGCAGCGCTGGAAGTGTAAACTACTAGATGTTTGGGAGGGTTGAGGCAGAATAAGCATGGAGTGGGGGCTTGACACAGCAAGGTCACGTCCAACCCTGGGATTAAAGAGCCACGTCAATACTGAGGTTCCTGCGCCTCTGGGCCTCATACAGTAATCCATCAGATCAGGACATCCTCTTCTACCAGTCTCTACAGGCTGGACAGCAGATCAATACCAGCATGCTCGGAATGGCTGACAATCACATATGGAATATGGGGGAAAGATGTGTGGCATCTTGAGATTTTTTTATCATGCCTGACGTCCTTGTTAATTTTCTTAAAATCAGCTTGACAATATCGGTATGGCAGGTAAAGACAAGAGGGACCGCTGATCCATATTCTGATAAGGTCAGCTCGAAGTGAGATGATCGTAGCTCAGACTGAGAAATTATTCATAAGGGGAATAGGATGATGATGATGATGATCTGACTGAAAGGACACATTTTTAATCTTTATGGTACTAAAACTGCATTAGTTTTGAACTGATAAAATGTGGATATCTGAAGGGTGATTGACATCTTTATAGCCAAGTAATATCTGTCCGAGACCAAGTCCATCCATCATACACACACAGTGCAGTGACATTTATCATGCCACAACTTTCATCTTAGGAGTTGAAGAGTCCCCTGGACCCCCCACCCTTATATTATTGAATATTTCTGCTCTTAAATATTTATAACCTTTTAATTGATATTCTCCTCTCAGCTCCCTCAGCCCCACCAGGGACCCGTGGTCCCTAGCAGGGAAGCTACTTGTCCCCCCACTGTCTGGCCCACACACTGAGATAGGAGGAGACACTTGACCACAGGGAGAGGAGGAAGAGCATGGACGTAAAGGAATATTCAAAGAAAGAAAGTGGGAAAATTAAGGGGTAAAGCGCAAAGTCTGGCCATGCAGCAAAGCCAGAATTTAATAGAATAATGACCTTTGCAGTTAACGCTTACCATTAACCCGCTTTAACATTGCTGGAGGTTGTATGTCAAACATTAAGCTTGAAAATAAAATATTGATTTTCTAGGGGGCAAAGTGGTTGTTGGGTACTGAGATATTTGTTTTTGAATGCACCATGTGATGGGTGTCATGTGTTTTAAACTGAAATGTATTACAATCTAACCCCATAGTCAACCCAAAAACCTTTCGGTAGGGCTTGAAAGCACTGAGGGCGAAGTTCTCACTTGCCTGTAGAAACAAACTGCCTGAGTCTTTCGCTTGTGCAAAGAAAGACCTTGGTGTCAAAAACATCATTACCAACTCACCATCTCCTCATTTCTCCATCATTTCCCAGAGATCCTTATTCTAAGAAGCCCCCCTCCCCGGCAACCCAGCCTACAACCACCCACCCCCAAGTTCGAATTAAGAATTTATTTTAACCAGCAAGCAGCTTCTGTCGACACATGTTGGCGGGCCTGATCAAAGGTGAGTACGCTCCTTTATCAGAGTGAGGGAGGCTGTCAGAAATAGGAGGACATTAAGATTGAATAACCTTCACACGGTTGCCGGCACCTCATTATTTAAAAATCTAAAACTTCTGCAGAGCACCCGCCATATATAGGTCACACTACATTCTAATGCCACATGTGCCTCCGAGTGTATCCTCCTCTGTGTGGATGGGATTTGGGGCTCTCCACTTAGACCGTCACATCCACTGATCCCCCATCATTAAAGATTGTCATGATCTGACGACGTGGCTGTGCACTTGACACTTGCCAGATTGTTAACAATCCTCGTGAATTTGCATTGGGGGAGTCTGTGTTCATATGGTCGGTGTTATCTGATTCATGTCCCCCTGATTCCTATTAGGAAATAATTGCTGTTTAGTATTAGGGTGCATTGAAAGTAGTTTAGTAGAAGTATTAGTCATAAGTCATTTCACTCATGACAAGCTCAAAGTGATGACAAATGTTTCACACCGTGTTGTATGCATTATAATAATGAAGATGTTATAATGCATGCCGAGATAAAAATAAGAGCAGCACAGAGAAAGGAAAGGTGCTACACAATTACAGGTGGAGGAACAAACAATGACAACACGGAGAGCTCAACTTGAACGAAACAACACATATAATCACAGGAACGCAGTCAGTATCATCCAACATTCAAATGTCTACACCAAAAAGAGATATGAGCATGGAAAGGAGAATGGGAATCAAAGCCGTTGAATGAGAAACAACATTTGAACATACCAAATGTTCTCCTTCTATTTCTATGTCTCACTCGCGCTCTCACAGGGAGTGATAATATTGAACGGAGCGCCTTGCTATGCCATTAGTGCAGTAAAACATCAAAGGAAATGAATAATAGAGAATATGATTTTCTGAAGTGGTGGAGTGAAAGAGTCCTTTCCTCTTCCGGCTGTAGTGAGCCCTGCAGTACATTGATCTGCGGGCAGCCTCAGCCAGAGCCGGGTACGGCACCACTGCTATACACTACCCTACACTACGGCACCTTGCCACCCAGACACTCCTTCAGATCTCTCGAACACTTCTATTTGCCTCAGTCCACTCCACTTTGACAGAGCTGACACCCTCTACCAAAAAAAGAAAACAGCCTCAATCTGACATAGCCGTGAGCAAAAAAGAAAGGGATGTATATATAAGAGAGAAGAAAAAGCACGGAGCATGTGGTTATAATTACACACAAGCAGCGCAGTGGTAAAGCCAAGCTGCAGATCTTAAGCCTGCTCGACACACTCTGGGTAAAAAAGCGCACTGCCTCATTAAATCTCAGATATCACACTGTTCCTGCCCCTCTATACTATGCATAATACTGTCTATCTTTTAGAGGGCCTCTTTTGTTAGCATTTCTCCTTTGCCTTTGCTACATATCAAACATGAATGAGAAACAGGATGCTGGGCCTGCAGAACACTTGCAGAGTCACAGAAGAGCACAACTGGGGGTCTACTTATGAGGCTGATCTTGACACCATGTCTGATTAAGCCCTCGGCTTGTCAGGAGTCTAATGGCTGTTGTGGCCATGTCCGTCAAATTCATGAAAAGCAGGTAAGCTGTTCCGCTGCCTCTCAATTTGACATTAAAAGGGTCGGTGGGTAGTGGTTTAACTAGGAGGAGGAATTACTACTAGTTACGATTAGGAAAGTTGGAGGAGACTGATTGGAAAAAAGCAAGAGAAATCTCCCAGCATCTTAAGAGTGTACAGGCCACAAACAACACTTTTCACATTGACCATTCGACAAGCTGCATCCTGAGCGGGGGTTAAAAAATAAATCAGTCAGACGAAGTCAAATGAGGAAAGTGAGAAATTAATTTGTGCGCCCTCCTGATTTCTCCACAGGCAGACATCGATCATGTGGCGGCTGTCTCCCCTCACTCTGGAGATAGAGGCGGTGCAGGTATGGGGAGAGGGGAGATTCGTGTGTCTGAGGGGGTCGTTGTAATCAGGCACACTCATTAGCTCTACTTTGGCTCTGGATGACAGGAGGTCTCCGAGGCAAGTCTGCCTTTTATGCCCAGTCCTTCATCCCTTGGGCTGGGGTTAGAGGGGCAAAGGAGACTGTTTCTTTCCACAGAACCACCCACCATTGCCTATCAATACACATTAACTCAATGGCAGATAGATATCTACTTTTTAAAGAGATGAATGAAAATGTTAAAAAAAGAAATGACAGGCATATCGCATCAATTGGCACACCAAAGTGTGCATCGGTAAAACACGAGATGTATAATGGATAGCACCAGAGATCAGAAACTCCAAGAGGCCCGCAATTTAAGAATCTCAAATCCATATTTAAGTGTATGTCTGCAGAGAGTTCACAAACAAATACTGAAAGAATAATGCTGTAGTCATACGAAAAACCCAGACTTATTGTAGTGGTGCATGCTCCTGCATTTTGCACAGGAGCACTGCGAAAGCAATGGGTAAATGCTGGACTAATGTGGCAGCCTAGGAATATCCAGGGTCCCCAGCCTGCTGGGCAAAACCATCCATATCGGGTTTAAAATAACCACGCCTGAGACTTAACCTTTACCAGAGACAAATGAAATGAAAATATACAGTGTGGTGCATCAGGAGCAGGCTTCATTCATAGGGGGCTTTCTGCTAGCCTGACCTGAATTACCGCTCCATTCCTGGAGGGCCACTGTGAATGGCACGCGTGGAGACAGGACACATTCATCTGGGTAGCTCTATTCTACATCATACAGACGGTTGGGAAACAAAGAGTCTAAAAAAAAAGGCAGAACACAGGGACAGCTTTAAGCGCACCTGCATGTATGCATGCATGCAAACACACAAACAAAGAAGAGCTGCACCACTGTGCCCTTCGCGTAAACAAACACATGCAACCATGCCGTTTACAGTATGAAAACCTCAAAAACAGGAAATGCATAGTTTGTTTCATTCTAAACCCAACGGAAAATGTGCAGACAGACAGACACGCACACAGATCTAGAAACATGATCCACTTTCCAGCCGAAAATGATGAAATATGAAATGGAGCATTACCGCTTGGAATGGCAGTCTGCCCAGGACTTTGCTGGTCCTCTGTCACATTGTCTTCTACTGCCAGAAAAAGAGAAGGGGGAGAAAAAGAAGGAAAGAAACAGTTAACTGTGAAAAACAAGTTAGACACATTGAGATTTCCTTCTTTTTTATTATTTACGGTGGAGATTTTCTGTATGGAAAATCCAAGAGATTTCAACAGCTTTCGACAGCTCAACCTGTGGTTTGGGAATCCACACAAGCCTTTCATATGTATGAGGTTTGGCAACAAGGCAAACAGCCACCCACGTAAATAACATATTGGACTGGGTAATGACGTGATGAATTATGAACGTCTCCCATGAAACTTCCTCCCAACATCAACAGTGACCAAGGAAAAACACCTTGATGACTGCATGTGTAAGAAGGTTGTTTAGTCCGCCTAGGTTGGATTAATTAGGTGGGTATCAAAAACACGATTTGTAGATTCCAGTATAAATATGGACCTTCTTAAAGATGACTGTGATCCAATGTTAATACCAAAAAAATACATAAATTAGAGAAATATATATATATATATATTCACATTACGTGTTGTAACAACCAAAGTGGCTGCAAAGTGCTTTTTCTCCTTAACGGATGGCTGACAAAATAGTGACAGCCTGATCGGCACTGAAATCCGCTCATTAGGCGCATGGCAACTAAACCACTTTTGACTTTTTGACAACAGCATGGCCTTGAAAAACAAGACTTCTGTTTAGTAAAAGGAAAGAACCTTTTACATTGGAGTCTTTTTGGAAATGTTGAGAGTTCCTTGTGGCATGTCAAGTACGAGAAATGAAATGGATTTTAACAGCGGGAAGAGAACAAAAGAGTCTCCCACCTGTTCCATGTAAAATGAGGGTCTCACTGAGGACTTCTTACGCCTCTGCGTTCCACCCCTGCAGTTGAAATGCATTCTCCATTATGTCTTTTCTTTCTAGCCTTTCATTTTCCTGGGCAAAGAGGAAGGGGGAGTCTGACAGGACCTCCCAGTAGGGGAGTGTGGCAGTGACTGCCAAAGCAGAAACTGGCGCACTTTTAAAATCGCACAAAATATCCTGTACTTTGCATAATTAAGGCTGGATCCTATGGTGGCAGAAGCCCCCTCAGGGGAGTAAGAGTCAGTGTCAAGCAGGGTGTCAAACCTCAGTGAAAAATGAAGAGGAAAGTGTTGAGCTGTTTCTTATGAAGATTGAAAACGACGGAGGCACTATGTTTCGATGTCAGGCCTTGTCCAGCCAAAACCAATTTCCAAGGAAATTTGTATGAAAAGCTTTTATTCAAAATAACCATTGTAAATAAACTATTCACTCAATGCATATGAGAATGTCTCCGAATGGAAATATTTCCCTTAGAAACTATTATAATTGATGTACACAAAAAATATGCTAAACAAACTTTCATGGGTCTGGCAATTAATTAACAAAATCAATTAAAAAAAGTGATGGAATAGACATAGTCGGACGGCATGGAGTCATATCCCTCGGAGCCACCATAGAGAACTGCATTAGCCAACACAGAATCATTGTCCTTTTTAAAGGAGGCCTTAGTGACTGACGCCCTGAGAGTTTAATGAGTTTCTCCAGCACTGTTGAGCGCCTTGCATCTAGGATCATTTAAATGGGCTAGGGATGGGGGTCCTAATAAATCCCCCATGGTTCCATCAGAGATTGGTGGGGGGAGCTGGAGTTTTTGTTTTGATTACCGTCCCTGTTGGTGAGATGAGGGAGTTCATGCAGAAAATTCTATTTCACAATGCCATAAGAACTTAAACATTACAGCCGTTTGCAGTGATTTGTCACCACTGTGAACTTATTAAAAGTTTTGTCGTTTAAAGTAAACAACTTTCATCACAGCGCAAAAAATCCTTTCATTTGCACCTGTCTTCTAGATAATTAATAGCTACCTAGGAGCGATCATAGAGGGTGAGCTGTCAAGTAAGGGCAGACTCCTGTGATGTCTCATACTGGCTGGACATTTGATCAACAATCAGCACAGTGAAAATCAAATAGCTGGACAGTTTTAATTAAAAAAAAATCTGAAGCTGCGTGCACTACTTAATGACAATGACTTCAAGTGAATATAACTCAGTCCACATTGTTGTTAATGCATCACTGCTATCAGTTAATTAATGTTTGACAAGGTACGCTATATCACTCAGTCAGTGACAAACTGTAATCACGCTGCTAGGTTTTGTTGATACAATACCAAACACACATGGGAGCATTTCAGCACTGCTCCTTTGATTTTCAAAACGCGGAGCAGCAAAGACATAATCCCACAACAAGTGGCAGAGCATTAAAAAGGCCACTAATTAACACACTGGCCACACACAAAACTAAACGTAGAGTAACCGTCATTATTTAGAGATTGACAATCCCCAAGACAGGACATTTCCTTTTTAGGGATGAATTCATTTTCTACAGATAAGGGAGCAAAAGAAAACAAGACGCGAGTAAAAAAACTAAATAATATGAAATTACGAAAAACAAAAACAGATTGATCTCCACAAGCACAGCCAGTGATACATCACACCTGCATACGACTAATGATTTAATAGACATGAATAAGCAAAACATGACAAACTCTCAGCAGCTTGGACCTTTCCTAATCCATCAAATGAATTCCTGCTGTGTAGGAGAATGGAGTGAAGAGCGTGTATATGTACGTGCGTGTACAATTACTGTACATTCTTGGGGTTTTATTTGTGGATCGCTACGTGATTCTGCGTGCGTGCACACGTGTGTGTGTGTGTGTGAGTATTTCGCAGCACTTTTCCGACATAAAAAAAAAGCCCTGAGTGTGTTCCTGGATATGCTTGACTCATCTGCTTGGTTACAGCCAGCTTGGACGATACAGTGCCGAACACAATGGCTGTGTAATCCGCCCTGACTGACCGAGAAGGAGACGCTCGCCACAGGGACTACAACTCAATTTAGCTCAGGTCAAGAGGTCAACCCTCCTCAATTAGGGCCGGGAAGGGAGGGAGGAGGACACACACTGCACATGAATAACTTTCTTAATGAGCATTATTTGAACTGGTGATTAGTGTCATAAATAATTTGCAATAAAAGGGGGCATGTTAATCACGTTGCATAATATTATTCATCCTACAAATATAGCCTTGTACTATAAGCAAATCATAAGAGCAAAGAAATGAACTAGTAGCAATCAAGAAATTGTCATGAATCAATAATCTCATTATGCGATTATTGCAAATATAGCTTCCAAAAATTATGAATGCTATTCATACAGGAAAATGGGACAGATTAAATAAGCCTAGCAACATATCATTTTATTTGCAGCAGTGGTGGAAATCAATCATCGTCTCTGAATCAGAACTGTTTCTCCATGTGGCAGACAATCCATGACAACAAGAGAGACACATGCCATGGAGTAAGGAGAGATATCGGCCAGCTCCCGCGACACCCAGTCCAACACACTGAGCGGCATGTCAAGAGCACTGACAGCCGTGCTAATGGGATTTTTCCATGGCTCCATCATAATTTCCTTAATGATAATACTAACCATATTTTTGTGTCACATTAGAAAAGTGTTAATGGGTGTTATGCCACAGATCATTAATTGTGAACAGACTGGAATACTGCAGCTTCCAATAAACTAAGATGACGCAACTGTTAATAGACATTTTAACAGGGGAGAAAAAAATAGAGCTGGATGTAATATGTTCATGCGTTTTAATCGTTCAAATTAACAAGAGGACTTTATTACATTTATCATTAAACAAACTCAATAGAGTGTTTATTTAAAATAAGGAGTCAAATTAGTTTTTGAGTAGTTCTTTGACAGAAATATTTGCTCTTAAAAGTATCCATCACACTTTTTAGTTTCACAGGCCTATGCTTAAAAAGAGTTAAGAGAAAGCAGTTGTGTATCTGTGGGCGTAACTTAGACTGTTTATTTTCAACAAGATAAAAACCTTCAAATTATGGGGAAAAATATATATTTATACATTTCATTTTTATCATATTTAAAAAGCTGTTTTATTCACCAGATACAAAAGGGAAAAAAACATCTAATCTATTTATGTATGAGCAGAGGAATTTTAACATAACAGACTATCGGGTTAACTTAATTTTTTTAAAGGCCTTACCCATATTTCATAAATAAACAGAGATTTTATATTTTTAAGTTTATATAAAAATTCCTTTCAAGTTTTTAGCCAAGCAAAACTAACTCATGTGGCGACAAATTGCAGCTCCTCAAAAACATTAAATATTTAAGGTGTACATGACACAGCGCTGATTTCCTGACAACCTCTATACTTAAAGTAAATGGCGCAGAAAATATATTTATATATGCGAATGACAGATCTGGAAACATCCTGCACAGCCAATAAACACATCAGGTTTAAGACTGTCATTTGTGCTCCAAATGAAAATATCAACCCAGCCTCACATTATTCAGGAAGTGCTGTAGGACAGGCAACGTGGCAGTCATCACACACATACAGTACATGAAGGATTTGGAGAGAGATCCTCCTTTCTCGCTGCTCACCACTGACTGAGGCAATGTGCTGACCCAAAGCCTCAGCACATCAAAACAAAATTACAATGTGCCTACAGTTGAGAAATGTAGAAGGCTCAGGATTGAGTAAATGTCAGTGGCTAGGGTGAAGTGTTTGCATATAAGCGAATGATGTATGGTCTTGTCCTGTGCCATTTATTCCCCCAAGCAATAACGTAGCCGGATCTGTCTCTCAGACTTAATTGAAACGGGACTTGTAATGTTGCCCTTTTCCTCGATGGGACCAAAAACCTAACCTCTGACTCCCACAAGCAGCCAATACGGAGGAAGTGGGTGTGTTGGGGTACACAAGGGAAAAAGAGTGCCAACTGTCACAGCATTATTTTCTCATCTCCTCTGCATACACTCCATGTCTCAACTATCCACACCAGTCCCTAAAACGCTGCCCGTTCTCTACCTTCCCTCTATTTTTTTAATCAGCACCACTCTTTATGTTCCCCTTCCGCAGAACAACGTGTTCTTTTCGCACAAAGAAAAACACAGTCCACATTGACCATTGCCTCTAGTCAGCAGACGACAACCTATAAAAGTGAAATCTGAACTCTGCAACTGTGTTCTGTTTGTGAAAACATACAATATGTGCAGACACAGGCTCACATGAGGAACACTGTAAAAATGTTCTGCCACAAATTTAGAGATATCACTTTTTTTATCAACTAAATATATATGTTTTTAAATTTACAAATAGAATGAAAACTCCCATCTTTTGCAAGCAATAGTGGAGAATCAAGTGTCAAGCAACTTCTTTTTCTTTTTTAATTACAAGGAAAGTTATTGTGGACATCTGTATAAGTGTAATTCTGTCCCAGAGGAAAGAGATAGACAAAGAACAATAAATAACATCTGTTTGGCCTTCCTTGGGTCTGATCCAAAACAGGGAAATATCTATGACGTATCTGCATTTCTGCTCCGCTTCGGCAATGGGTATGAGGACATAAAAGTCGGAGTGTTTTGTGCATCATATTTTTCCAATTTAAAATTTTACTGACGATAACAAAACAAACAATGTCATCACACTGACTTGATTTGCATGCTGATTTTCTCTCTGTCTTTCCCTCTCTCTCGCTCACAAAGATATACACAAATCTTGACAGATGTTCCTCTGAATTCACACACATACACACTTGTAGCATGTAGGTCTACTTACAGGAGACGATTATATCTAAGTGATGCGTCTTTTGAGAATAGCAATTGTCACACTAACGAACTAACAAAAAAAAGCAGTCAATGCCAATCTGGTCTAAGAAAATAAGGAGTCTATGTATAGAGCTGTTTACTGTGAAAAGAGCAGTGCCGGTGTGGAAACAGAATGTGACAATTTTGAGATGTGCATCCACTCACATTTCCACCCTCTCCTGGGTATTGATTTAAAATGGTGGCTGCATGAATGTACTACCGCAGACCATGTAATCTTCCTTTGAGATGAAGACTTCCGAGAACGAAAGGGGAGAGAGAAAAGGGGTCCACAGACCACAAGCTGGGAATGTGAAATTGTGGACAATTATTTGCTGAGCAAAATACAATGCCTGCCAGATGAACTGGAGCTCAACCTCCAAACCCCAGCAGCTCCCCCACCAAAATGCTACGGAGAAAAGTAGTGTGTGAATATGTGTGCGCTCATGCATGTTGCTCTGTCTCAATTTCCCACTCCCTCCCCCCTCTCATACACACATGTACCCTCAGACACAATTGCATGGTCGAATTACCAGCAGTCAAACTATTTCAAAAATGACAGAAAAAGTAACAAAGAAAAGGAGAAAAACAACAACAAACATCCACATTTTCTGCTCTGTATATCCTGACATGCTGTACTGAGATTTGATATGAGATATACAAATGATAAAGTTCCGTTTTTCTCAAGCTTTAACTGACAAATGCAGACGTATACAACTTTTTAATGAACGTGTCCAATTAGCACTCAACATAACCACTAATTTCTCTTTTAACTATTGTTCACAGACATATCACAGCCCTCCCTTTCCCCAACATATAAAATGTTTCCTCCTTAGTTTCTCAGACAGGGGGGTCACGTGATTCTGCACCCCATTCCATCAGACGGCTTAAGTTCCGAGTAGGAGCGTCTTTAACACATCCAGATGTTTGCCAGCGTCGCGCTGCACTGTTGCTCTCTAAATTATCAATGCCCTGCCCTTACACTTTAACTATCATTACAATACAGTCTGAACTGTAACCGACCAGCATTCCCCCGGTGCCATGTACGTAAATGCAGTCGATCTCATGCGCAACATTAGAAGAAGAACACTTCGAAATGCGTTTTCTTTTCAAAAACAGTTTCATTTCAGTGAGCGATAAGTTCAGTTCATGATCGTCTAGACTTGTCATCACCTTAAAATAAAATGTTCTGAGAGCCACCAAACATAGGCTTATCACTTACCTTTCAGTGATCTTGGTTTAGCTTGCTTGCGGCGCGACATCCTATAGAAAACGCTGAAGTTGCTCAGTTTCTGTCTGATAATGTGTGCACGGGATAGTCTAAAGATGTAGTCTCTCTAAATTCCACTGACCAAAATCGCGGCTGCCTTTTTACCATTACAGAAAGATGCAACTTAGCCCTTGCCGTGCGCTCTAAACACGAGTTTGCTGTTATTTAGTGATGAGTAGGTGGATGTTATAAAATCCAATTACCCCGATCGGTATAGACGACTCTATTTAGTTGAGCTGGGTATCGGGAAAAGTGTGAGAATACGGTAATCCCCGTCATGCGCTTCCATCTCCGGGAAAACACACACGCGTGTAGGCATGTTCGTTTAGAAATAAAAGCGTAATATTTGCCTTTCGCATCTCATCTCAAATGCATCCGCGTGAGAAAGACATCAGCAAAACGCCTCCTGTGAGAGTGCAAAAAAATTGCAACAAAACCAAAAAAAAGGAGGAAAAATGATAATAACACTTTTCACTTCATATCCACCTAACAGCAACAAAACTATTATAGACTGTTCCCTTTCTCACTCCAGTCAGCTAATCATGAATTAGGTTCGGAATCTGATCTAAGTCTACGTCTAAATTGCTCTTAAAAGAGGATGAAGAAGCAGAGAGAAGATGGAAGCTCCCTCCTCATCACAAACCTGCAAGGTCTTGGACTGCGCTGTCGCTCCGGTAGTCCACATAATAATGGAAAATGGAAGCAAGGCCCCCAAAGCCATCAGGATGGCTCCAGAGGGGGCCCCTACCCCGCAGGGACTCGCTCTGTACGTAATCACTGAGGAAATCATTGTCAGCCTGCCTGCACTCACACACAGACAGAGAGGCATGATTAAAATCCTAGGGATCACGGCAAGATGCGGAATGCTGGATCTGCTGGTCCCCGGATCCGGAGTCGAACTCTAAACCCAAAGCCGGCTTGCTCACCCTGGCGTCTCTGCCTCAGCTCGCCGACGGCCACTCTCCGTCTACGGCAGACGGACTGGTCCCCCTTCTGGTAGAAATGGTTAAGCAGAAATACGTTTTCTGTGTGACTGTTGACATATGTGACATGCAATGGCACGCATAGAATTTTAAATGAAATGTATTTTTTTAAAGACGGAGGTTTCTTCTTTTCATGATTATTGTTCACTGTGAAATAGATTGCTATATTGTATGATCTTAATTATTTCAATACTTAGTATAATAATTACTTTTTATAAAAAAATATCATATTTTTTCCGATTGGAAATTATATATTGATTATTTGTGGATCTTTCAAACAATGCCTCTTTCTCTTTGATATTATTATTATGTTGGATTATTATAATTTTTTTCAATTATTATTATATTTTCTTGTTTTTATTTTATAAAGTCAGTACTAATCATTCGAAATATAGTTTAGGTTAATGCAATTTGATACACTTCAGCCTGCAACTTATGAATTCATTTCATTAGAACACATATTATTAGGTAAAAAAATTAACAAATAAATAAAAACAAGTTTTTCCGGCTCTCTCTCTCTTACACACAACGGTGCATTGGAATACACTGTCACCTGCACAGAGATATCCAGACCCCATGCTGCCCCTGCTATGTGAAAATGAGAGGAGTCCTGCGGTGGACTTCTCACTCTGCACTCTGCCCCTCCGAAGCCTGGAGGTAGCCCCATCTAAAAATCACAGTCACGAAACAGCTTCTCCCACTTCCAATGCATTTCTATTCTCTGATTCACAGAGACAAATGTAGGAGGTGATTTTTTTTTTGCTGCACACCTTTAGGGAAGGAGAGAAACAGTCGATAGGGCAACTCCCAAACACAGGCTGGTGTGGAAGGAGAAAATTAACAAGAACCTTTGATAGCCTTTACTGGAGCTGAATTTAACTTTGCTAAAGAAAATTCTCCACAGAAGTTAACCAAAACTATAAAAGTTAATGATGTGAGTATATAATAAAGCTGCTCTTATTCTATAGGGTATTCCAATCTTTTACTTTGGAGTTCATAATGAGGCCATATAGACATCTAAGGTAATCACCTACAGAAGTACCAAGTAATAAATGTAATAGAAAATTCTAGAAAGCTACAGAAGAGGCATCTATTAGCTGACGGTCATAATTAGCCTCTTATTTTAAAGAGGGCTTGTTATTTTGCCTCTTCTGTCTCTGATCAGTGGCAGATGTGAGACTTAAACTTAATAAAGGAGAACTTATGACCTACATATGATGTCAAGGCTTCAATTCTGTTTCCTCAATTTGGGTCCCGTAAATGTATCTACACTCTTGCTTTTCAAATTATTTCCCCACCCACAAGCTGCCAGAAAAATGTGTGGAAAAGATCAATAAAACCAAGTATGACACAGATTGACATGATGTGCTTTGGTAAATTCAAAGCCATCACAAACTACAGTAAAGTTGGTAAACACACACATATGAAACATCTATTTGTAGGTGCTTGGAATCTGTCAGGAGGTCCCAGCTGCTTTAAAACTTCAATCTTAACAATGCTCTAAAGTTCTCCCTCTCTGTCTCAGCACTCTGTCAGACGGCTCTCCCAAAGTTTTACCACCTTGCCTCCCCTCCGTACCTCTCGATTGCTCTCTCAAACACAAACAAACAGTGCTCTTCAGTCCTCCAGGGCTCTTTGCTACTTTCATTAGTGACAAAGTAACTGGGAAAAGGCTTGACTTGACTCGGCGCTTGCACAGTTCAGTCTCTTAAGTTACAGTACACTCAGAAGTTGTTGTTTTTTTTCCTTCAAGTGGAAGAAGCCTCATGTGAGGAATGCTGCGCATGGTGCTCCAAAAACTGTCTGACACGGCTTGTCCCTCAGGGATAACATTATAAATATGGAAAGGAGAATCAAATATACATTTTTTGGAGCAAATCGGCACAATGAAAATCAACAAAAATGTTTTTGTTTCAAGTCTCACCTCTGAGCGCGAGGGAAAGGAAATCAAACAAATATAAATACAGAAATGTGACATGTTTGTCAAAAAAACAATGCCTGCCAGGGAAATTTCTATTCAGCATGTACCTATATGATAAGGCATATTTACGAAATTAAATAATGGGTGTATGCCTACAAGGTGCATCTTCATATTAAGTCACAGTAATCTATTCTTTTTCACTTTTATTCTTTTTATTCCCGTGTATATTCCATGTGTAATATCTGTTTCTTTTTGTTCCGGGAGTGCCATGACGTGTGAATTTCGCAACGGGGATGAATTGAGGTCCATTTTATCTTATCTAATCTTAATTGTCCTTCAAAAAAATGTTACATTAAGACCTAGCCTTAAACTTCTATCAAACACACAAAGGCACAGCTTGTTTTCAGATGCTTCACAGTATTTGTAGTAAAACTGAGCAGTTGTGTGGAGATTTTTTTCCCCACCCATAGCTTTTAGTTAGACATTGAGACGCCACAGTAAGTGTGTGTGCCGTAGCATTAGAGATTTCACTCTGCCTCTCAGCAGGGTGAAACGTTCCCTGTGGAATCTGCGTGGTGGGATCTTTCAGCAGATCTTCCTGACCTGTGGCCTCCTCACCCTCTGTCCATTTGGCTCCTACTGCACATTGTCCAAAAGAAAATCCAAGTAGCAACTCAACTTTGAAACTCAGAGAAAGTTTTAATCCCAATGAAGTGTCTCCTGTAGAAATAATAATCACTGAAGGCTATTTAGGAGAAATACTCGCACAAATGGTGAAAAACTACGGCTTAAAAGCACAGTTGGTCAATTACACTCGTTAGAACAGGGCAGATACACAGACATGCATGTACACCAACCACATACACACTCTTGACTTGCCTCATTAAAACCCATCCAGCTACTAGAACTCAGAGATGTGAATGTTTCCCTTGAGGAGAGGGGCACGTTCATTTTGAGAAAGGCAGAAGATTCAACTTTTTTCTTACTTGCTTATAATTACAGAGATTGCTGGAATGCATGACCCTGAGAATAAGGCTGAGTCCTGGGAGAGTCCACCAGAAGCATCACCATCTTCAGTATTGCTCTCTATTGTGTGTCTCCCTAGTTAGATGCCACCCACACCAGGCATGAGTGAGGTCGAGACAGTGCCCCCATCACTAGAGGAGTGCTCCCCGGGGACTGCTCCAACCAGCCAAACTCCTGAGGCTGAAAAAAAAAAGTCAAGATAGCGAGTGACTGAAAACATTGGCCTCTCTGAGCACCGAGACATACTTCCGCTCTAAACTGATTAAAAAAAGAACAAAAACAACACAGAGAGCTAACAATCAGATGGCTTCAGATTTGGCAAGCAAGTGTGAGTGCTGCTTTCCAACTTCAGTGTTATCCAAATTGCTGGGCAATTAAACACTGGAGCAAAAATGGATCATATGTATGCAGTTCACATAACACTGTGTCTTTCTACACCAAGAACTGGTGCATATATTTACAAGAAGAGGGTGGAACTCACAGAAGAATATTCGGAATTTGCCTCTCAGTGAATAGCCACGCCTGTTTCAATAAAAGGTCAGTGACGGCCTACATGTCTCAACATCCTTGCAGACTGAGGGATGTCAGCAAAGTAGAGGGGATGTTGAGTGAATGGTGCTCGTCAACAGTGACCTTCCAGCTGGATTTATCCGAAACTTCCATCTTCCCAAGCCAAGGAGCCCCGTGAAGCAACTCCCAAACCGGGTCATTAGCACAGTGGTGTCACCAGACAGCAGATCACGGGCCAGAGAGGGAGCAAGAGGGGGACTCCTGGCACTGCAGCGGCTGCTGTGCGGTTTGACATTCAGGGCTGGCTGATCTATGGGGCTGGGGAGACAGTGCCCTTGCTCTGGGTCTTCATGAGGAGAAGTTCCTGGCAGTTTTCCCCTTACTTACTCCATCAAAAAAACTGAGGTCACGAGATGTTAGTCGTAGCTCTGACTTGCAACATCACGACCCGAGCTGTAGGGTGTTACCATGACTTTAGTGACAATATTATCACCTGGAAGTAAATGCACACCATGATAGCTAACTGATATGTAGCATAATGACATTCCTAGACAAACGTATACATCAATCACTCACCAGCTAGCTTTATATGTTCAGAATATACACCTATGGAATGTGGAGTTATTCTCTTAGACCAATTTTAAACTGCTTGTCATGACAAGAATCTCCACAAAGATGTGTTATTGGCATGAAGAATACCGTTTAACCACAGTGGGACGGTTTCATAGTGTGATCAAAAATCATTCTAGGAGTTTTATGTCCTTCTCAAATGGCTTTGACCTCCACAGCCCGTCTCGAGCAAATGGTGACCACTGTGGCCATGCCAAGAAAGAGATTCCCCTGGGTGCATTACCATGAGCCAAGACGAACATAAAAAATCTCTCGGTGAAGGATGGACATTTTCCACTTGGCACCGCCACAAAAGATGAAAAGAAAAGATAGCAAACCCTTTTTCTTTTTACTGAAATGAGAATGATTTTTCTTGCTCATTACCACTCTCTCATTAGGAGATCTTCACTGTAAGATGAGATCAAGCCCACTCACCCCTCCATATTTTAGTAGTTAACTAAGTGTGCTACAGAGCCCCTTATCATACAGAACATTTTACACATCACCCAGACTCACCTCAGACTGTTACCGGATGTCTGATTACCAGGTTCAATGGATGTCAAACTGAATTGAAGAATTCAGGCAA